CCGATGTTTGTGAATGTCTCCTTTCCTCTCGCCTCTTCCTTTCTCCCTTTCTCTACTGTAGGTCGTTCTGCACCAACAGACGAGGGAGGGCCCTTAGTTAAGACGCACAGAAGTGACTCTGCCATCCTCGGAGGTAACAGCGCAATCCGGAAATGCCTGGGCATCGCTTGGATGGCGGGCCATGCGCACTGGCAGATCCTCGGTGTAGTTTTACCGAATTCAGCTCCTGGGGGCCGCTCAGTAGATGGGACTGTGGTTCCCTCCAACACGCTTACGATGCTGGACGAGAATACTGAGAAGTTTTTCGTTTGAAAATAACCATTACTATTCCTCGGGAGACTATATATATTTTTAAAAAAGAAAAGGAAAAGAAAGAAAAGAAAAGGACGTAACCTGACTCCTTGCACATCCCAGTCTGTGAGGACTTCTGCAGCAGCAGTCAGAGCCCGGAGAGGCTTGCTACACACTTAAGCCATGTTTTCTAATAGCTTTATTAATAATAAAATTCACATTTTTTTTGGAGAGATTTTTGCTATACCAGACAGACATAGAGAGACAGAGAGACAGAAAGTGAGAAATCACCCCCGAGGGAGGATGGCCACGCTGCAATCCTTTCTCCTCCATTCTCCTCTCAGGATCTTGGACATGCACGCACACGGGCCGGCGTGAGTTTAAGCCACCGGGTCTGGGACGCGAACCGCGGTTGACTCCGTGGGAGTCCAGCGACATAGCCATTACGCTAACTGCTGATCCCAGGAGAGGCTTTCTAAGAGAGGCGCAGCTTTGTGTCTAGATGTCAGAACTTGGAGGTTTATAGGTTAGATGTGCCCTCGATGTAGGTCCCACGTTTAATCTACTTTTTAAATGTGTTCAGTGGATTGAAGCAAGAGTAAATACACCGTAAATAGCTTCCTGACAATGTAGACAATGTATTGCCTGAAACAGGGTTTAACCAAGTCTAAATTTAAAAGCTGCTAGTAAGTTCTCTCTCTTCTCACTTAAAGAACTTTTTCAACTCCGTTGCCTGGGGGACTGAGAGTCCAGTCAGTTGCAGACCGCACAGTGAGTAGGGAGTGCACGTGTCCACCACGGGCAGGATCTGGGTGGGGCCTGCTGATTTCATCCGTCCTCTGCTAGACCCCGGTTTCCGCAGTGGCGGGAAGGTGCCTGCGCCAGTGCTGACCGCGTCTCTGTAAGGGAGTTAGCATTCCCATCCCTCTCAGCCACTTTCACTTCCGGAACGAGTGAGGTGTAAAGATATATTTAATATGACTTTTAAACAAACAAAATTTAATAGGACTTTCCAAGAACAGATGAAAACCATAAACATTATTACACATATCTACAAGGAATGTTTTCATCTTAAAAATTTAATTAGATATTAATCCTAAATCTCTAATGTGAAGAGTTTGTTATAATGCAAGAACTAGTGTACAGTAAAGTGGCTAAAATCTTCGAACTAGAAATCCAAGTCTTAGTTGGTGCCATTTAACTAGAAAGGACAAGTAACAGTTGAACTGATGATAGTCCAAAAGATCTGGCCCTTGCTCTGCATTGCTTTTGGCTAAACAGCATGGCAGCATTTACCGGGGAAGTGAGTGGGACTGGTGTCCACGTGAGAAGTCCTCTGGGCTCTAGAGGGTGGGATGGAGAGGAGCACAGAGGGTCTGGGGCGGGGCTTGCCAGGCCCTGCCCTTCGCTGCGGCTGCCCCTGCCCTGCTCCGGGACGTCGCCTGCACGG